GAAGGGAGAGAGGGAGGAAGGAAGGAAGGAAGGAAGGATGGAAGGAAGGAAGGAAGGAAGGAAGGAAGGAAGGAAGAGGAAGGAAGGAATGGATTTTCTGTAATTGTGAGGACAAAACATCTTGACAGTTCAGATTTTTAATTAAATTTTCTGCTTTTCTCCATCAAGCTGGACAAGTTTAATACATGTTGTACACATTTGACATCCCCCCCCCGCCCCATGACAATATATATTCTCTCAAAAGCAACACAGGTTCTGAGGGGAAAAACAGTTATACAAATATTTATTCATTTCATTTCATTTCTAAGCTGCCCATCTTACTGATAAAGTGACTCTGAGTGGCTTACACTATAATAATAAGTTAACAGTGCTAAAAAAAATAAAGGAATGAATTAGTTAAAAACAGGCAAAATTAATCACTCATGCAAAACCATTATACAACAGTTACCTGATCACCTGGTTTTCCCCCTTCTCCTGGAGGGCCTGGGGTACCGGGTAAACCCTACAAGGAAATAAAGAAACCAAAAACAAATCACATGGTCAGCATATGTAAGACTATAGGTTGAAAATACTGCTTCAGTGGCATTTTAATTTGAGCACAAAAATAGTTCATAAGTAAATCCAAAAACATGGTGATCATTACTTTGGAAGTTATTTTATTAAATTTGTTTTGCTCAAAATAATAACAATCTAAAAGTCCTTGGATGGCTTTATATTGAAAATTGATTTCAAAAAGACTCACCTGAAATCCTGTAGGACCCGGAGGACCTTGTTCTCCTCTTTCTCCTGCTGGTCCCTATACAAAGAAATGTTTTTTAAATGATTTCACATGGTACCATAACAGCTTAATCATACATGCTTCAATATCCTGATACTATAATAGGAAGATATTGTTCTTTTGTTATTGCTCACTCAAAGTTACTGCAATTTGGCTAATCAAACAAGCTGCTACCCTCTTTCCCCGAAAATAAGACCTTCCCAGATAATAAGCCCAATCGGGCTTTTGAGTGCATGCGCTAAAATAAGCCCTCCCTGAAAATATTGCGACACAGCAGCAGACATGAGGTGACCCCACTCACCACCTCCTGCACCTCAAAAATAATAAGACCTACCTGAAAATCAGGCCAAGTGCTTATTTTGGGGTTCAGGGAGCCGAGGTGGTGCAGTGGTTAGAGTGCAGCACTGCAGGCTACTTCAGCTGAGTGCAGTTCTGCAGCTCGGCTGTTCAAATTTCATCAGTTCAAGGTTGACTCAGCCTTCCATCCTTCCGAGGT